CCCCAAAACCCCAAAACCCCAAAACCCCAAAACCCCAAAACCCCTAGCCATCTTAATAATATTAAAAATGTCTGCTATAACCATAATGATACAGCATTGTGAGCTCAAACACAGGGCTAACTTCTTCCTTGTAGGGCAATGAGATGCTGTGATTTACCCTCAAAAGGCTAAAAAGACACAAAAATTTAGAACTGACATCTCTACAGACACTGAATATCCTAAATGGAGCAAAAATGTGTTCAAATTTGCGAACATCTCTCTCGGAAACAGAGTCCTGCTCAAGTTCGGTTGCTTCAGAGCAAAAGAGAGTGTAGACATGACTAGACCTGAGAAAGCCACTGAAAACTGTACCTTATATGGCTCAGCATCTAAGCTCTTGACACAGTCTTTCATTACCAAAATGAGAAGGGACAAGGTCATTGAGGAGACCATGATCCTCTTAGACCCGGACAACAATCTCGAGATCGGCAGGGTCTCCCTTGTCTGGAAACTTACTGTTGAAGAACTTGAGGATAGAATCTATGAAGATGTCAGAGAGATTGAAAAAGTGTACTATGACCAATTCACCTCTGATGAAGGTGAGATTCATACAAAACTTGATAAAATCGAGAAAATAGCTGCTAAAAAGCAGAAAGATCTTGATGAAGTCATGGGAGAACAAGATAAACGTATTGAAGCCATGAGAAGCCTCGCTATTGGTATGTGCTTCCGCATTAGATCTGATTTCTAACAGCCTATAGACCTTGCCATGTTGAGAAAAAGCAAAGAAGAAATGGAGGACACAAACAAAAAGCTGTTACACGAATTAAATACCAGGCAAAATGTTGACGATGTCCATATCCAGATAGATGTGCTGTCCACAACTCCACAAGGAGTAGCTCAACTTAAAGAGAAATATGCCAAACTGATCGCCAAATTTTACATCGAAAGGAACAGACATGAAGACCTTGAAGAGGACTACCAGAAGCTTAAACCTCAACTTAAGGAATTAGAGAAGACAAAGAAGGGCATTTACGAGCTAGAAAATGCAATTCAAGAGCAGAAATTTCATGGAGATAGGTATAATGACAAGCTTGCAAGAATTAAGGCTAGCAAGGAGACTATCCAGTCACAAGAAAAACTGATACAGAACTTGACTGAATCAATCAAAGAGGGATCCAAAAGTGGACCTAAGATGACCTCAGAGCTCGAAATGTACCTCCAAGATCTTGGCTATAAGCGTACCAGATTATTAGAGAAGCACAAGCAGTTACAGTTGATGATCGAGCTAAATGACGGTAAATTACCCAGAGATTATCTCGAGAATATTCAGAGCGAAGAACTTGAGGATAACCCTGAAGAAGTATCTCGTCTGAAGCGTCAGGCAGACTCCTTGATGTCCAGAATCCAAGAAGTGACAGGCAAACTTGATATGATAAAAGATGATTTCCAGCTAAATAAGAACTTCGAAGCAATAGAAGATTGGGAGAATGAGAAGCCAAATTACGAAATCCAGATCTTACAGTATGAGAACAGGAATCAGATATTAGAGAAGCAGCAGAAATCAGATACTGAGAAGCATGCTAAAATAGTATCAGATCTTAAGCACAAGATTGCTTCTATCCAGAACAGTATCGATGAGAGGTCATATTTGATGCACACAATGAATTAATTTGACTCTAGATGATATATTTTAAAGGGGTTTTGGGGTTTTGGGGTTTTGGGGTTTTGGGG